GATGTAGTCTTGTTAAACTGGGTGTCTCTCATCCATGTATATCTATGATTTCATATTTTTTTCTGCCTAAGTTTAGTACCTTACATTTCTCCCTGTTGAAATTCATTTTGTTAGTTTTGCCCCAGCTTTCTAATCTATTAAGGTCATGTTAGAATCATAGAATCATAGAGTTGGAAGAGACCACAAGGGCCATCCAGTCCAATCCCCCTGCCATGCAGGAACTCCCAATTAAAGCATCCCCTACAGATGGCCCTCCAGCCTCTGAATTTTGCTCCTCTCCTCTGGAGTATTAGCTATTCTTCCTAATTTGGTGCCATCTGTAAATGTGATAAGAAGGTGACCCCTTCCCACCTTCAGCCATGTTCATCCCAGTGATGTCTGTGGCAGGACCAGGGTTCAGTACCCCTGGGACACTCTGGAGGCCATTAATTGTCATTTTAATTGTCCCTTTTGTAAGTTTTTAATTGTACTGTGTTTGCAGACTGTAAGGTGCATGAGATCCCAATTTTGGGAGAAAAACGGGATACAAATAAATATAATAAATACAATAATAATTAAGACTGTCAAAAATAGAACACAAATCAGTGGCCAAAGGTCCACTTCTGGTTTTGAACCAATGGGCATTTTTTAACATGAGAGCACAGGCAACCTACTCTGTGAACAAAGCTGTATTCCTGGGCATCCCTTCTTTGGCAGAAAGTTTGGTGCCAGAAGCAGAAATAACACAGAAAGAATAGCCCGACGTTCCCACATCACAAAAAAGAAGAGTAGCTTGAACATCTTTCAGCAAACCTTTATTCAGAACGGATCATATGGACCTGTGAAATGAAATTGCTAGGTCAGGTAAGCCTTGCGTAAGTAAATACATTTTGAACCTTAAGAGTCAGTGTGGCGTAGTGGTTTGAGTGTTGGACTGTGACTCTGGAGACCGGGGTTCAATTCTCAGCTCAACTATGAAACCCAATGGGTGACCTTGGGAAAGTCACATGCTCTCAGCCTCAGAGGAAGGAAATGGCAAGCCTCCCCTGAACAAATCTTGCCAAGGAAACCCCATGAAAGGCTCGCCTTTGGGTTGTCATAAGTCAGAAATGACTTGAAGACACACAAGAACAGCAACAAAGAAAGCATTTAAAGGCTTCTTCCAAAATACATCTAGGCATATTGGTTGGAATCCTATCAGGGACATATGTCTTTGTAAGTAGCTTTACGTCTGCAGGAATTAGAATTGGGCACTCTCATAATGCCTGCATCCAGCAGAGGACGGCTCTTACATGACTATACTTGCAGAAAAGACAGCAAAGTGCCAGATGCTCATTGGTGCTTGATGCACAATAGGACTAATGCACATTGGTCCCAATGTGCATTAGGCACCTGTGCGCATTGGGCATTCTTGTTGGTGTCCCATTACACACCTTCACAATGCAGTAAAGGGGTTTCTTAGTGCCTCTGCTGCATAGCTAGGTACAGGCAGCCCTCCGTACACAGATTCTGCATCCATAGATTCAGCCATCCATGGCTTGCGGGGAAAAATAAATCCAAAAAAGCAAAGCTTGATTTTGCCACTTTCTGTAAGGGACACCCTTTTACTACTCCTTGTATATAATGGGACTTGGGCATCCAGAGATGTTGGTATCCATGGGGGTCCAGGAACTAAACTCCAAAGAATACCAAGGGCTCATCGTATACGTAAAGTTACGTAATGTGACAAGTCAGATAGGATCTGGTAGACTTTTTCTTTCACTTTTCTTATTGTTTCTATTTTTGGTGGCCAA